AGTAGTAGTAGTAGTGTAGTAGTAGTAGTAGTAGTAGTAGTAGTAGTGGTGGCCGTAGAAGTGGAGAAGTAGTGGTAGTAGCAGCAGTAGTAGTAGTAGTAGTAGTAGCAGCAGTGGTAGCAGCAGTAGTAGAAGTGGTCGTGGCAGTGGAAGTGGTGGTGGTAGCAGAGTGGTAGCAGCTGTTGTTGTTGGTGGTGGTGACCTTGACCATCTAATCAACCATATAATGGTACATACACCATGTCGGAATAGCATTCATCTGATGACATGTCGTAAGTCCGAAACTACATGTAGCATTGTACTTTCGCACTTGTTCCGATTGAAAACAGGAGCTCGAGTCCCTGCTTGTCGTTCGCTCATTGCGGCTCCTGCGGCTCATTCGCGCACTGCGTCTGCTGAAGCAGCTCCTGGACCGTCAATTTCGTTTGCTCAGGTTGGTCAAGCCAGCACGTGGATGTCTAACAAAGTAGGCGGTGCCGAACTATTGCAGTAACCAAGTGTTGCTGTGTAGTCGGCAATGAAAACTAGGAATTGTGTGCAGTACTTTGCACATAATGCCAGTGTAGCAATTATTCGTAGTAGCTGTCACACAACGAAGGCATGTACTGTCACAGTCTCTGCGATAAGAACTGCAGGACTCCTTGTACATCTACCCATAGACATGTAATTGCGGAATGCACACACAGAGCTGAAGATGTCAATTTGCATCTGGGGCAGAGCACGCTTGTTGTTCGCTGTGGTGTATACTTGTTACAGATGCCGGCACATGTGTATGAATATGCTTATTAGGCGCACAGTTTCTTGGCTATACTATGAATCTACGTATATAGTTGCACGTGTGTCCGTGTCTGTGTGTGCGCGCGCTGGTGAGTGTGTGTGTGTGTGCGCGTGCGCCCGCGCGCGTGCGCGCACGCGCGCGCGTGTGTGTGTGTGTGTGTGGTGTGTGTGTGTGTGTGTTTGCGCGCGCGTGTGTGTGTGTGTGTGTGTTCTGCATTCCCCTCTGTGTGTGGTTGACTCGTGAGAAAGAGTATGCGTGTGCGTGTGTGTGCATATGTCTTTGCATGGCCGTTATACATTTAAACACAAACATGCATGCTCGCACGTATGTCCATGTACAGATATGTAGGAATATTTCTATAGATATATACATAGGAAACTAATCTACATACATACATACATACATACATACATACATACATACATACATACATACATACACACATACATACATACATACCTACATACATACATACATATTATATACATGCATACATGCATACATGCATACGTACAAACATAAATACATACAGACATACGTATACATGATTGTGTACAGCATCACCGTTTCAGCAAGAGGAAAAGGAGACAGGTCAACACAGCTCACTTCATACGTAAGGGTTCGGACTTTTGTGTACACATCCTCAGGGCTGCGACTGTGCGGTGCCACAGTGAGAAAGCCACCTCGCAGTGCTCAATGTGCATGCAGACTTGCGCTTGTGTGCTCAGTGCTGCGATCGTGGTTTTGGAAAAGTCGTACTTTCTGCAAGAGGTGCCTGGTCATGCCGAAAGCTAACCAGTTTCGAGGCTCTGCAGTTCTCTCCCGTACGGCCTGAGTGGCAAGACTTTATTGAATATTACCTTCAGTCCTTGACAGCGCATGGCCCATGCATGTCCGAACTCTATGAGCGAATTGTAATCATGTTTAGCGCAAGATGCCTGTGACTTGCCACACGAGACAGTCAGACTGGCCTCCCTGAGCCAAAGGTTCCGCACAGTGTGGAGACTTGTCAACGGCTTACTCACGTCCGCCAATGCGATGGTTTCAACCCTGGTGTTGGTTGTAGCTTGGCCTGGTAAAAACACTGCATCACGCCCAGCTCGGGCGAGATGGTTCAACCAGTTGAGAAGGAGACACAGAAGACAGCCATGCCTGTACGCTAGACCAGGTATTGTCCCTGTACATCGCTGCCTGCTTGGGCATCGAAATTATCACGAAGGATTCGGACCTGACCTCTCGAGCTGACACTTGCCTACATCAGAAAAGCTTTAAGGGCATTACGCAGAAGTGTGGAAGGTAATGCAGTCCTGCATGTCGGCAATTCTGCAGAGCACCGGCAGCCACATGTATAGGCATGAGCTTATCTTTGTCACTGGCGGGGTCTCAGTTTCTCCAAACCGACATCTGAGCCGAAGCTTTTTTGTTTCCGGTGTACATAATGTAATCTCGAGCTCTGGACTTGTCCCTTTGATGCAAGAGAGTGTCTTTCCCGCGCCCGAGTCACAGCTGATGTCTCAACCTTAGGAACTCTCCTTGTGATCTGTACGTCTCCAAGCCCATGCAACAGTGGCAAGTAGGGCTAGGGTACCCCGGGCTGTAAGCCTTTAAGCCTGCGGGAGCGTAGGGGTTCAGGCCTAATTACCATGGGACGCCCATTTTCCGCGCCATCAGACCGAGGAGACAGCATCGATTGTGAGCCAGCACTTTGGAAGCCTGTCCAGTACGCTGTGCCTCGTCGTGTCCATAGTCCCTTTCATGACACTATTGTGAATGAGCGCTTTGCCAACTCTTCGCTGTATCCAGCCCTCTTTGTGCGTCCGCCCTCACGACTGTCCGTACAAAGTGAACATTCATGAAGATTTCAGAATTTCGTCCCTCGGTGCCAAAGCGCATAGTCACATGCCCCAGCAACCTTGCGGGAGAGAACCAAAGAGCTGGAGCAAACATTTGCCAGTAGGTGTCAGCCCAATGGATCCTGGAACACAGGCTGACGCTGACTGCATTCGTCACCGTGGATTCCATTTCGCCGATCTACGGGCCCTTGATCGCCAGCAAACCCGGACTCGCTGGGCACCTTTGCACTAGATTGCCCCCAGACCCCCTAACCCTAGCCAGACCTTTGATGACGCAAGTGAAGTATCACTATCTGCGGTCGGCATCGGTAATCCTTCAATGTCCTTCATCGCTCGGTCACCTCTTCCTGTTGATGGCGGATACGATGGCAGTCGGTGTTTCCGGAAGCATGTTTGATTTGCCCAATTGTCTTCAATGAGTGCCATGGTGTATCTAGCTATACGAGACAGTACCTAACATGGTCAAGCTTCGTGGGGCGACAGCCGACCGACCCAGGTACTTTTTCTTCATCGTGCTGTTTGTTTCAATTGCGCTGATGAGACTTGCCTTGTGACAGCAGAGGGCCCCTAAACCCCTAAAGACTTGTAGATCTCGAACTCAGGCTCGTCCACAGGTGGGTTTATGCAGTCGATGCACCACTCATGAGAAAGGACGGCTCTAACGAAATTCTCTTACTCCAAGCGACATGCCGTGCTGTGGCTTCGGCCTGATCTGACTCCATAGGGCTGGCTTCTGCCGATCATGGAAAGCTATGCTGGCCTATACATGTTGCTTCACCATGCTTGCTTTGGAGCCTTCGGCTCATTGAGCCACCGCTTTAGTAAAAACAAGGGCTTCACAACTCTTGCATGACATGAAGGGCGGCATCGGAGTTGTGTAAACCCATACCCCAGATAGGGAGGCGGCCTTCGACTAGCCAGGGAAAGGCGTAGTAAGGCCAGGGAAGTTCGGATTCCTTGAATCCTACTACATGAGAATGTTGTGTCCGCTATTTGTAGTTAAAGTTTCCATATGGACCGTGCCTCGAACGCTTTACTTCTCAGAGACTTATCTAGCACCTGACCATCGATGTCTGCGTGTTATGGTCTGGTCTTGTGGGCCAAGGGTAGTACTGGCCAACTTGATGTTGTTCTTAGGCAAACGAGCTGAGAAACAGTGTGCTGAACCCTGCTGCAACGAAGCCGGAAGCCGCTCCAAATCAAATTCTGCGACGAGGAACCTTGTTACCGCTGTGCTGGTGGAAGGCGCCTTGGCCAATGCGTCGGCGGACAAGGCGCCATTTGCTGTTGTGTCGCTGTGAGGCTGACGGGGACAATGTCGGTGGCTTGAGTTCCACAGTCCCGGTTGTGCGTCTGCGAGGCGTATATGTAGACACACACACACAGAGACACACACACACACACAAACCCCCACGCGGCGGACGCAATCACGCAAGTGGCTTGCCGCAAGCGCCCCTGCACACTCGGATACAAGGACTGATGCAGACAGAGACAGCAGACGGACGAACAGAACGAAGCCAAACTTGATCGCAAGACGCCAAGATAGAAAGACAGGGGCACAGACAGACAGGCAGACGGAGACAGCCAGACCGATGCACACCTGACAGAGACCGAAACAAAACAGACGGAGAGACGGGTGGACAGACAGAGACAGAGAGACGAGACACCAGACACGGAAAACAATAGAACATTAACTGATGTACCTGCACCTGCCCGGAGATGCACATCAATATGTTGTCGCGCTGTACGTTTTCATGACCCCTTCAGCTGATTTGTTGACACGCCTAACATTCTGGGCACAACCCAAATCGAACACGTTGCAAAAGATAGATCTCACAATACTGGCTGGGAAGTCATTACAGTCGGTGTGCCACGAGACTCCAGGAGAGCACAAGCAGGGCTACCGGCAACACTAGTAGTAAGCAACAGCTTTTTTCGAGCTCAGAAATTGCTACTCTGCCCAGAAAGCATCACGGTTAGTGCTTGCAGCTGCATCAAGGAAGTGCTGACCTATGACGACTTGAAGTGTTCATTCCTACTCCTACACCACCCATGATCCCCGACCAACAAAGCCTAGGCTCGAAAATTGGTCCGAATGCCCCTGCGAGCTGCGAGCCAGGAAATGGAACGAATGGACTTGAGGGAGAAGCTGCGCAGCGCATTGCCCAGGCATGGTTTCGGATTTCACATCCCGTGAAAAAGGGCATGCTGGTGATCAGGCAGTTTAGGGTTCGATGGGGAACATTTTCTGGCCACTCTGAACGGAAAGCTTGCAACTAGTTTGCAGCGAGCACAGACAAAGTTTCCTATGCACTACGCCGGAATCGGGACCAGATGCTGGCCCAAAAGCATGAAACAGATGCAATAAATGAGGCCTGCGCAAGAGCATCAAAAGCTTGACTTCCTGCGTAGCAGGTGGTGTTGCCATGTCAATGTTTGCGCGCGCAGGCTCTCGCAGATCTTCGATGAGATTGACAAGGCCACACTGTTTCAGCAAGCCCAAACTTTGTTCGGATAAGTAGAGGGGGTAACCATCGCCAGAACATCAACTCTGCTACCTTGACGGCCTGTTGGATGGCCATAGGTTCCTTCTCCGGGACAGTTTCAACTCCACCGTGGTATAGTCTTTAGCAGGAGTCGCTGGTCCGTTGTGACACATCATGGTTCTTGCTGTGACTGCTGAAGCTGCTCAGTAGTTCTTGCTGCAATCAGCGGTAGAACATGACTCGAACTCGAACCATTCGGGTACTAGGCGAGTTCTCAAGCTTTGCTGAGTCGCCCGCACAAGCCCCACCGTCCAACACAGAAAGAAGCAAAACCAACAAGGGCGTAAAGCAACAAAAAAGACCCGTGATGGTCTCCCTATCGACGGCGAGGATAACTCTGGAACTCTGACTATGGACGAGATGGCGATGGTCCCTGCAGCTCGTGCATAAGGTTTTCATCCCCCTGCTTTCGGATAGGGTGATGCGTCCATTGCTCGTCCTTTTTCTATGCTATAACGAAGGTTTGTTACCTCAACAAATATCTTGCTTTGTATACCTATGGATAGACAGTCGTTGTTTCATGCTGCGTGTTGTTGCTATTACTCCTGTCCCCTTTCCTAGGATTGGCACGGTTCCCGTTCCTACTGGCACCGCTGGCACGACTGACGTGACTGCGAGAACGTTTCGTTTGAATGCTCTTTCCACATCGACGAATTGCAGGCTTCCAAGTTCGAAGCACTAGCTTAAGATTTCCACGAACAGTACGGCTTGAGTTCCAGCCCGCAGCCGAGGTAGACATCATTCCAGAGGAGCTGCGTTCGAAGAGCCGTGTTTCCTCCATGCAGGACCTCGGTGTGGGTTCGAGTGAGGTTTGGAGTTGAAATCTGGCCTGGTCTTAGCTCCAGCGCTCTGGGTGAGTGATGATGAGACGGAGGAGATTCAGGCATCACAGTGACGACGCTCTGATTCTACCGACACGCAAAACCCTAACGAAGTCGAAACCTTTGCAGTTGGCAGCATGGACAAGCTAGCAAAGCATCGGAGGGGAAAGTGATGGGGTGTGTATTGAGGATTTACTTATGCTTGGTGTGGTCTGTGTTGCACCAGTTGTACCACCTGTCCTTGTATAACAGGGTTACTTCCACTGAAATCAGTCTGTATCGGGGATAGTTTGCTGTGGATATGTTTGTACATATATGTATGCATGCATGCATGCATGCATGCAGGTAGGTATGTAGGTATATGTAGGTATGTAGCTATCTAGGTATGTAGGTAGGTATGTATGTATGTATGTATGTATGTGTGTATTTATTTATTTAACTATAAATTTGTTTGTTGATTTATTTTGTTGTCACAGAAATGCATACAAAAGCTCAATGGGTTGCGTGTTTGCAAGAAGCTCAGTGCGAATCCGTGGTACTTCAGCTCCTTGCCCAACAATTCCCGAGCTAGCGGTTGGTCACCGAGTTCCCTGCCCAGCAGCCCATAGCCGCCCCAATTCGCAGGAGGTCTTCGAGATGCTCGACGTGGATGGCGGCGGTGAACTGACCCGCCAGGAGTCAACATTTCGTGCTTCCCTTTGCATCCCTAGTCTGAAAGCCTCGGTCCGTTTGTGGTGCAGAGGGGTGCCGATGATGGTGTGTGCTGGAGCAGACGGGGCCATGGATTCCTGTGTTTTGAGAGGTAGACGGATCTAGAGGGTGGAGAGGTTGGGATTCATGTCGGCTTGATTCTGTAAGGACGGGGTTGCTCTAATTGCTCTACATCCAGTACCGGGTATCTGTTGACTCCACCATCATGCATATAGACTGCTCCGGGCAAGCTCCTTGCCTACCTGCACCCGGGCAGGAGTTTGTCGACGGGCTCCTCAATCTTTTCATGCACGATGACCCCGCCACCTCCGTAAATTGGCCTTGCAGGTAGAGTGATGGTGCAACACGTATCTAAGGTTTGCGCCTTCAGTGAATCTGAGCAAGAGCTGACTTCGTAGCAGGTTCGGACGGTCGGCTTTGTTCGCATAGTTACGGATGTTTCAGTTGCTGGAGCCACCATTCTGAACACTTGCATTTTGTGGGCGCGAGGAAGCAATCCATGATGCTTTTGGTCTAGTAAATCTTGACAGCTGGTATGATGCGCACCAAAAGTGGTCTTTATCGAGGTGCTGCGAGTTCATACCGATCCCCCTTCGGAAGTTCAGAGCCCACCACCTGCGATGTTGGTTCCGCTTGCTTTCATGGTGTGCCTGTCCGGGTTTTGGCGATGACGGCTCCTTGCAGACAGACTCCTGCGAGGAGCTGAGTGACCCTGAAATCCATGACTTGCGTACTCAAAAGCCTCTTCAGGTAGGTCTGCGCAAATGCAGGCCTAGGAACCGAATCGTGGCTTTACGCCGAGAGATCAATGCAAGGTCCAGACGCTTCGGCTGCTCCGCAAAGTGGACATGAAGGTGGGCTGCCGTTGATTCCCTGCGGCCGTTCAGTCCTGAAGATTCGGCTTATCCCATCGCTAGCGAGAACCTTCTTCGAGAGATTCATAGACCACTACTCGTAGAATGTTCAGTTGGAGATGTGACATCTGCGATTATAGATCATTGAGCATCAAGCCGTGATCAGGTTATGCATCTCACGCACGAGATTCAGGAAGTCGTCGGACGGGCACGGAACCCTTAATGTGCGGTTTTCGTGCTTCTCCAGCACAGCAAGATTAATCTTGCTTTTTGGCACCAGTCCGACGTGGAGGCAAGCCATGGGCCTTCGTGTTGTCTCAAATGGCAGCACCCGTTTGCGTTGACAGTGCACGGGGGTTGCCTCTCGTAGGCACAGCCACCACGGGAGACCGAGGGAATCATGTAAACTTCTCTGCCGTGTCCTTGCAAGCCTAGCCGTAGACTGGTGGAGATGAGGAGGAGGAGGATACAATGTCGTCGACAGTAGTGACAGCACTGCGACGGATCAGGGGCAATTCTTTGGACAGATAGGGCTTCGGGCACACGCCTGCTGGAATGCTTTCGATGGCTTCCAGGGAGTCTAAAGTCGCTCAGGCATCACATGGATGCTCCGACGTGTCTCCCATGGTGTTGCATAATTCGGTCGATTCAGGATGGCTGACACCGACAGCTCCCTGACTTTATCTACTTACTAATTATACAGGAGTCGATGCCGTTACGCATTCGGAACCTTGGATTAAGCCGGGGGCACCTAGTAACCTAGTATCAGATTCGAGCAGGTATTTGGAGCACCACTGGTTGCCCTTAGTCTCTAACCTTTGAAGTGTTCTTCAGCTTGAAGTGTTCGTCAGCAGCTTGAAGATTTCAATTTGAGTTGGTTTCTACAGGTGGCACTGAGTGAACTGAACGTAGATCGCGGTGAGCTCAGCATCGGCCGGAGTCGCCGCACTGCAGCTACGTGCTCAAACGAGCCCGTTGCAACAGTTGGCACGGACCTTTTGGCTTGTTTTAAGAAGGCAGCCAAACTCCTCATGCCAGCACGAAGCAGTTCACTACTCCGCCATGCCTGTCGCGCAGCTCACGACTTACGGCCTACAGCGTTGGCACATGTTGGCACCGTTCAGTTTCTAACAAGTGCATCATCCGACATGCATAGGTCGGTATGGCCGTTGATGCCGTAACACAGACTGAGAAGAACCCAAATCACCAAAGAAAAGCACTTTTCACATGTTGAGTTGTGCCTGTTGCTGGGTATGTCCAAGTACAATCTGATGGCTCTTTAGGCAGAAAGTCAAGCTCACAGGCATTCTAAGGAGGTCCTTAGCCAGATCAGAGTTGCTAAGCTGCTAAAGGTGGGTGATTAGAGATCGTGCTAACAAGTGGATTCGGTGAGGTGGTATAGAACACTCCATCGCGACACAGCGGCTTCAAGCAGGTTTGACTAGCACACCTGCGACTGTCTGACATCATGCTGCGGAATCATTTCCCGAACTTAAACCGAGACTTTTTCAGGTACAGGCACGTGCTCCGAAGTAACAAGTGATCCACTACAGACCTGCAATCGCTGCGCCTTGAGGAAGTTTTCTCAACTTGGATCAGCCGTTGGCAGCCTCGAGCCAGGAATGTGTACACAAGGCTTTCACCAGACACGTCCCGCCCATGCAATCGTGACCAGTGTGCATTTGGACTCTTCCGCGTCCTGCAGGCTGCATTCAGGGGTATCCGTTCTAAGAGGGTCTTGTTGCAGGGATCAGTCACTTTCCGCATCACTCCAGACGAGGGTTAGAAGTAGACCCAAATACAATCTCGACATCTCAACTGGAATTTGGATAGTATGATGACAAGAACTGCGCGGATCCTTGTTCGAGGAACATGAGCCTCCACGAGTTTCAAGACCAAGTCGAGACCCCTTACCTCGAGGGAAGGCAGCCAATGTCTGATCGAGTTTGGGCCTTCGTAGCTCGCTACATCCGGTTGGGCCTGTCGTTGAAAGTTCGTGGGCCCAGCTCCGACCTGTGCATCAAGGAGCCCTTGCTTCGCTAAAGTCACGTCCAGGAGCAGCATCGACACATTTAGGTCCAGGAATCCGCACTCTCTTCCCCAGACCCAACTTGCCGAGCAACACACCCATGCATTGGGGTTTCGGCGCTGGAGGCATTTCATGTTTTGTGTGCTGCGGTACGGCTTCGAAACCCCCACAAGTTCCTTACCGGTCTATTACGAACTCAGTGCGGAGCCTTGTGTTCTAGATAACTGCGACGAAAGCACGACCAAGGCCCGTTTCACATGAGATCGGCATCGATTTGATACTTTTTGACCGGGCAGTTAATGACGTAAATCAGGCAGCCTCTGCAGTGAGTAGTCATCTCGTGGGCTTCAGATGTCACGCCAGTTTCCTCTCAAGAAGCTGCTCTTCGTGCACACACGCCGGAGAAAGATGCACTGCCAGATCTGGCAAATGCCGCAATCTATCTTATCTAATCTTCCACGGCTAGTCAAGGCACATCTCATGAGCAAACCCAAAACCTTCAACTGTAGCCTCAGCCCAAATCCGAACCTAAGGACCTAGCAGCCTCAAGCCCCCATCTCGAGCAGCAGCATCCGCACTTCTACGGTGACTGACAACACTTAAGACTTAAGACTATAGCTGTTCATGTTAAAACCTGAGTCAGAACTGGAAGACAGTCACCTTAACTTTGCCAGACCTAGGCAATGTCAAACCTTGCGGGCTGTTAGACAGATATAAGAAACACGAGATGCATGGACATTCGAGGCGAATGTGACAAAAATGCCAGCTAGTGCTCCCATGTATCAATGTTCTCTCCCATGTATACAGCCCGCGGCCCGTGTGCATAACTTCAACCGAAAGGGCTGTCATTACCACGGCAATCCCTTCCAACTGCGGAAGCAGATTGCGGCACATGTTAGAGTTGACAATTGAGATGGAGCAGTCATCGCGGCAACATCCCGTGGCAAAAGCATTTGAACGCCTTGTTGCGATGCCTACCTTGCAGATTAGAAATAGGCTACAGGAAGTATAACTAGCGTTTCCAGCAAGTCCTGGATACCTAGGCTTTGCGGATCCCAGCTCTGTAGACCTTACGGACCCTCTCTCGCTTCCGAAACTCCCTGTGCCGAGTGATCTAAATCTTGTGATTCAGCATGTCAGTGGCGACAAACCAGTCAATAAACTTCAAGTCAAACTGTAAGTATCTTTGAGTCTTGTCTGCAGGTTGCGGTTTGTTTCACAGGGAGCATCCGATTAAGCTTTCTAGACTTTTCTTCGCCAGTGGATATGCAGAGAGCTTGCCTGAGGTTGCGGATTTGTTGGCATGTTGCTTGGGATTTCGGGCTGTGGGGTAGTGTTTCGAGATGATGGTCCCTGGTAGTCGGCCTTGACATGAATTCTCGAGTGGCTGTGCAAAAGCTGGGTGAACTAAGGAATGACACACAGAGCTGGCACAACACCAAAGCGAGACGACCGGTCAAAGCAGGCGATGCGGTGTCGAGAGATTCAGAGTTGTTGTGAGCTCGATGTCGTAGACACCCCAAACCCCTTAACAGAACAAAGACGGCCTCACGCAGTTTCTGTGATTTTCTGGTCCTACATTTTTTCTATTCACGCATAGCTGTTGTGTGTGCAGGTCCTAAATGTCGGGTGTATGCACATGTGCACCTACGCACGTATGTGTCTTGTGTGTGCGCATGTTTTCCTGCCTCTATACACGTATATTCGTCTGTTTCCGGAATACGTCATTCCAGTCCTGCTTCCTTCCCTTCGCTTATAGATTTAATGAGTGTTTGCCACGTCCAATGCAGGTATAGCCGCTGCGTGTATGTTTATTATAGTATTTTAAAGTATAGATAAGACTTGTCGACATGAGAGCGTTCCTGGAGCGCAGTATCAGGTAGAGGTTGACTTCAGTCTCAACGCTGCAAGACCTGATTAAGCCTGACTTCGAAGTGTGCACCGGCGGCCATGCTCTGCCCCTTCATGAGTTTGCCCTAGGACCTTCAGCGCCTCACCGGCGTGGTCATCCACCGGCGCGTCTACCCGGATTCCATGCAGCTCGGCGCAATTACCCTGAAAGACCGCAGTACACGCGACATACCATGGTGATGCAGGTGGTGTCATGTCACATGCTTCAGCCCTGTTCAACATCCTGAGTCGACAAGTCGTGCACTCTTCACAGCAGGTACTCCCTGCAGCACCGAGAAAATTGAAGTTCTAAGGACTGCATTTAGGTACACCTTTTGCTATGATGGCACGGAGTGACAGGTGGCTTTCCATCGTTGGCGAAGCTCCAGGGGCCTCGTGCCACGAAATTTGTTGCTCGGAATCCGAACTTGCACCGTCCGGGATTCTCCGATGCTGAACTTAAACGCTACCGTGTTTGGAGTGGGCAGAGGATGCGAAATGTGATATGGATTCGGAAGTACAAGTCGTTGCATGTCGTTGGGTTTCCAGCAGTGCCAGTTCTTGTGTGCTTCACTCTCGAGTTGGCTCCTCTGGTCCGTCTACCTGCCAAATCCAAGAGCTCCCACGAGTACGCTTCGAGTCCTGCAGAATTTGCAGGTGTGCGTTTTTGCTGACGTGCTGGCCCCTTCTCTTCGGTTCCTAGATGCGTACACTCTTTGCCAGACAGTCGGGCCCTGCATCCTCGTAAGCGCTTTGGTGACAGTTCTTCGTGCCTGTCTCAACTTGCCATTGCCAGACCCAGGTTATCCAGAAGGTGGATCTCTACCAGTTCGGGACACTCCGACTCTGCCAGTGCGATCCCACTGCCAATGTCGTGCAACTTAGCCTGAGTGGACCGTGCCATAAAGGCTTCATGATGCTCACGGCACATGCAGAATCCAAAATCCCAGAAATATTCAGACAGCTTGCGAGGGTTGGTTGTCGATGAAAGAGGGGCATCGCGTCAGTGTCCAAGAATGATAGCACAGGCATTGCCCTGAATTCTTGAAAGACCCCTTCATTTGGAGGAGCGGTCGATGCT